GCGAGTGTGCACAGACGTCTACGCACCATCTTTGGGCCCCAAAAGTGTAAAATCTTGTTTGTTGAGCCTAGCTAGCCCAATGACCTGATCTTAAGGCCCGAAGACCTCTATCTTACGAAGTGTTGGGTTTTACCGATCCGACACAACGTAAAAGGACTTTCAATGGCTTGTATACTACTGGTCCCAAGGGTCCTTTGGTATTGCTAGTAGAGTCTACCTTTTTATGCGAGGCGGGTCTGGGACCCCTCGTACCTTTTTATCCCCAACCGGCTAATGGAGTCATCGAGGCCTTCGTGTCCTCTTTCTCTTCGGATGTGGGACTACACGTAGTCAGGGCGGTTGGATAACGTGATTAGTACGGACGACGCCTACGGATCGTTAGTATTGCTATAGACTAGTCGTTTGTGTAACGCGCGTTTGTAGCAAATAATCATGCTCAAAAATAATCCAACGTCGCCTGGTATTGATAACTTCACGCGTTGCAATGGTTTCAATGTAAATTCATGTAATTCAAAGAATTAGGAAAACATCGGGTTTTCCTAGGGTTTTTCAATACATACGGATTCGGAATGCATACAATTTTAATGAACAATTTTTACAAGTATAGAAACAAACAAGCATACCTATGGATCTTCACACCTTTTTGACTATACTATTTTCAGAAAATATCGGATTTTCTGGTGGTTTTCAAACAATACAAAACATTGGATTTCAAACACTACTTATGAACTCACCAACATTTCATATGTTGACGTTTTTCAAAATACTTGTATTCTCAGGGAACCAGTGAATCAAAGGAAATCATATTCAGTGATGGCTTGCAGTTTATTTATGTACGAAACGAACAATTTATTTTTGGGAATGTAATGTTTAAACAATGTACTTCATGTAAACTTTACTGGTTGTACTATATTAATGCATGGTGACGAATGTTGTTATGTTTCATGTATATTCATTGTGATGGTATTCAATTGAGTCACAACAGCCCCCGGACGTTTCCGCCGTCTGGTTTGGGGGGTGTGACATTCTCTGATTTGGGTCAAGATCTGAGGTTGCAACCTCAGATCTGGACTCCTTTAGCCCCTCTTTGTCATAAAGTTTCAGTCTTTGTCAAGCTATGATCTTTCCCTTACCTTGAGCCACTTCTTTAGCTTGTTTTTGGCCATTATCATCTTGTATGCACTTAAAGTTTGCGACTTTATGTGATAAACATGCCCTAGGAGCTTATATCTGCAGTATTGAGCCTTTGCATGGCTTAAAAAGCATCTGTAGGCATGAAGGATTGAAGGGAGTCGACGAGTCGCATGGTCGACTCGGCTAGTCATATGAAGATGGTCCTAAACTCGACGAATTGGATGAATAAGTTGGGGAGTCCGATGAAGATTGTCGTAGACTCGGCGAGTCAGTAGAGTGACTCGGCAAGTCAGTTAGGGTTTTTCCAAACCGTTGGATGCGTGTAAACTTGTCGGGTTGCAAGTGGAAAAACTCGATGAGAGTGGCCAAAGAGCTTCGACCGCGAGCTTTAGGAACTCGACGAATCACTCTGGTGACTCGGCAAGTGGGCGAGTTATGCAAGGAACTCGGCGATTGGCTGGTCTCACTCGACGAGTTCAGGTCAACATGGACTGTTACCCTGACAGTTGACTTTGATTTTGACCTAGGGTTGACCTGTGGACTTCTTGGGGTATCTGGGATTTATGGACCTTGTGATACGTTGGATATAGGTGGTGGAGTTCGTGGCGGTGATTCGAGAGTTGAGCCTTCTATTTCCTGTCAGCAGTTGCAAGGTGAGTTATCCTCACTATACTTAAGGGTCTAAGGTACCAAGGTCGGCCTTTGGATTGTTACCTGGTTATGTTATGCTTGTATGATTTGTTAGATCGGTATCCTAGAGGGTTGGATAATATTAAGTAGTATGTGGTATAATGTGTTAGTTCGGTATCCTGTTAGATAGGATGGTATTATGTGTTATGTGGTATGATCCGTTAGATCAGTTGTTGTCTATAGACTGTTATGTGATTATCTGTTTTATATATATATATATATATATATATATATATATATATATATATATATATATATATATGTGTGTGTGTGTGTGCATATATTTGTTTGGCGGTTAAGGCTTATCTGCTTTGTGCGAAAGCTAATAGACCTAGGCATTCCAACCGGTTGGTTGTGGGCCATGAGTATTCCATCCCGAGGATGATTGAACTCATAGTATGTAGGCATTCCAACCTGCTGGTTGTGGGCTTGGGGTATTCCATTCCGATGATGATTGGACCCATAGTATGTTGGTATTCCAACCTGTTGGTTGTGGGCCTGGGGTATTCCAACCCGGTGGTTGACTGGACCCATAATATGTTGTTTGTGTATTTTGGGGGAACTCACTAAGCTTTCAGGCTTATAGTTTCAATTTATTGTTTCAGGTACATCGGGGGATCACGACAAGGCAAATGCGTGATCGTACAGCTCCTCACATTTTTGTTATGGTTTTTGGGAAAACTCTGATATATATACTATTTTGGAAACAAAGTTATAATAACTATTCATTTAGTGTTTATTTAAATTTTAAATTTGGCTTGAATTTTATGGGTGTTACAAAACATATCATTAAAAAAATTACAACAAATGTCAAAAACATTTAAAAACCTAAAAAACAATAAAAGATGAGAAAAAATACAATTTTTTCCTAAATTATTCATCTTCAGTACCATCATAGATATGATATGTCAAGTCTTCTCAAAGTTGCTTGTGTTTTCGTTGGTCTTGAATATCAACGACTTTACGTAAGTATTCCGTTGTCCCTAGTTAAAATTGAATGTGTTTAGGTTCCGTAGGCGAATACTCCGCAATATTTCGTCATTTATTTTCAATCACCATGTTATGCATTATGATACATGCATACATAATATCTCGTAAAGTGTCCAAGTGATATGGTCGCGTTGCATGTTCAACTATGTGTCATTTTGATTTCAGAACTTTGAAAGCATGTTCCACGTCCTTACGTGCTCCTTCTTGTCGTCTGTTGAAAATTTTATCTTTTGGTTTTAAAGGGTGTCGAAACACATTCACAAACGTGGAATATGGTGGATATATTCCATCGGTGAGGTAATACCCAAACTTATATTCATTTCCATTCACTATGAAATGGGTATCTGATGCCTTTCCTTTCAAAAGATCCTCAAATATTGGTGACTGATCAAGAACGTTCACATCATTGTTGGAACCCGCAACTCCAGAAAAAACATGTTAAATCCATAAGTCTTGTGAAGCAATAGCCTCTAATACCAACGTATGTGATCCAAGATGACCACTTGTGTATTGTCCTTTCCACACTGCAGGTTAATTTCTCCATATCCACTTTGTGCGATCAATGCTTCCAAGCGTACCCAGAAAACCATATCGTTGTTCATACGTCGTATATAGTTGTTGCATATCATTCAATGAATGTTTGCTCCAGTATTTGTTATCGAAGGTTTCAACACCACCTCTCGCCAATCTATATAAACTTTCTCGTGCAGTTCGCTCCAACATTCTCATATAGTCGTCAATAGAATCGGACGACTCCCCCATAACTATAAACTTGATTGCAGCAATAAACTTCTGCAACCCTATGAAACCTCGCTTACCTCTCAAATCATATATCATTTGGAAAATTCATACCTAAATATTTATTTAATTGATAAAAAAATGATTATCTAAAAACTGTATAAAAACGCATATATTTAAGTGTATTTATTCTATCTAAAAACGATTATCTAAAAACTCTATTTACGATACCTGTTTTCCATTGCATTGACTATCCATTGAACGTATATTTTCGCATACGAAGTCTTCTTTTAAAATCGCAAGGTTGGTAGACACAGTTATCGGCAAAATAATCATTGACTAGATGTCTATGTCATTCTTTACGATCTCTGTTTAACGCAACACGTCTCATGAGTAGTAGAGTTGGTTTTGGTTGTAGCAGTACGTCCATAGAATATTGGTACATCGTACTCACAAATATACGTTATCGTTGAATTGACGGAACGGATCAAAATAATCCGTTTTTTGTTTTGAGAGAGAAATATATGTATATATAGTATATAAAAATGGGAAATTCTTTTTTTTTTTTGGTTTGTGACCATTTAAGAACAGTCGAAAATATAATTGTTTTCATCGAAAAAACCAACCCAAACCCCGTTGCTTCCCAATGCCACACTAACACGTTTTAACATGACACCTAATAAAGCTTGACTAGGGCGGTGTTCAAGGCGTTATGGCACCGTTATTAGCGTGCCAACTCTAATTAACATGCATGTATTAACATTGCCCATACCGGATGGTCTAATTAACAGAGCCATGGTGCATGGGTGGTGGTGGATCTTTGTTTTTCAGCAGTGAAGACACAATCTCACAAGAACCACGATTGGTTGCTTGGCTATTAGTCCATGATGTGAATACAAAGATGTTTCCAAAGATAATTATGATCATTGCATATGGAGCGTTGTAAGGACCTGGTGTGCAATTTTTTGAAACGAAAATGTGGTTGCTACCTTTTAGGTAGGGGCATATTTGTCAATCTATATGTTTAAGTAGGGGCATATTTGTCAATCTATACTTTGAATCTCTCATTATCGCAAATTTGGTCGTAGCCAATTTGCTCAATAAATGAGAACAGATGAATTAACAAGTCAAATTTATGAACTCCGATGTTCCTCAGGTGAAACCCATCTGGCAATTGATTTGAAGAATATAAATCTTAAATTAAACTAGATTCATTGAATATATCAAAAACTATCTATCTATTGAATCTGTAACAGATTTTATCACACCTAATTACATGAAAATTACAACACAATTATTAAAACAACTAGATTTAATTTCATTGAGATGCACCAAGAAACTTGAATCCTTGAGATCTAACAACACAGAGTTAAAATGGAGGAAACCCCAAAAAACAAGTGCACAACGATTTGATTTGACCTTACCAATTCGAACTACTGCCTCCATTTCTACCTAGCTACGCCGATTGCCCATAAAAATTTAGTTTCATCTTCACTGATCATGGAATCGGAGGGCCCAACGCCGTCTAATCGGACCCGGGTCCTGCAAATCGGGCAATTGGGTACTTTCGTTAACCATTTATCGACACATCTCGCATGGAAGACATGATCACACACCGGAAGTACACGGCAGATCTCTCCTTCGTTGAAATACTCCAAGCAAATCGAGCAATCGTCGGAGGCCGCGGTTGTGGATTTGTCCGCGGAAGGGTATTGGAAGGGTGGGAGGTGGTTCTGTATGTCGTGGAGAGAGAAGGAGGAGGAGGTGCGAGGTGGGGGTGAGCGGAGGCGGAGGCGTTGGCGACGGCGGTGGAGAAATGAGCCGGCAAGGAGGAGAAGGATGGCGGCAAGACCAAGGAAGAGGAGGAATAGGGATAGAATAAGGAACATGACAATGACTTTAAGGAATATAGAAAGGAGTTTAGGGCTGGGTTTGGGTGGTGATGGTGATGGGGTGTTGCTGTTGGCATGGTCATGGCGGTGGTGGGTTTCAAGATTGTGGTGGCGATTGGGGTTTGGCATGTCAATTGTGGATTACAGGAGGCGGAGATCGATCTAGGGGTGGAGTTTTTTAGAGGAAAAGAAAAGGATAAGGGTGGGTTGTTTGTATATTTAGAGAGAGAAAGTGGTGATGGTTTGAGGAGAGAGAGCGGCGGAGTAGGGGGCGGAGGTGGGGCATTATTGAGGAGGGCTTGAATTCCGGGGGCATATTCGTGTTGGTTTTTATGTGTGTAATTTGTGAAGGGGAATAATGCTCCGTAAAACAATTTTTTTTTGCCTTTGCAATAAAATTACTATACTAATGAATGTAATAATTAATAAATTGAGAGATTTGCAAATTTAACTAAAAATATTAGATATTTTGTGTAAAATAACAAAAAAAAAAAAATCAAAATTGTATTTTTAGCTATCAATTTCGAAGATAGATTGTCTATGTCTGCAAATAGACTATTACATTTGTAAACGTACAAGCCGCTAAAGCATAGCCTGTACTTTAGCGATTTGTATGTTTGTAGATGGACTAGTCTATCTGCAAACATATCAGTCCATCTGTAAAAATAAACCTAACCTACTATAAAAACTTAATTATTTTTGGTTCATTTTTCACTTTTTTTTGTTGGAAAACTCTTTCTAGGAAGCGATTTTCTTACCCCATTTACGATTATGCATGATTTCATGAACAACCCTAATAATATGGTAACAACTAAATTGATAGTTTTTTGGAGGGCTTTTAAACAAATTTTCCAAAGAAATAACAAATAAATTGATAACTTTTTGCAAAAATTTATATATAATAAGGTTGTTTCGTAGTCAAACCCTATCAATTTCGTAGTAAAAAAAAATTAAAAAAAAAATTAAAAAAAAATAATAAAAAACACACACACACAAAATCGCAGTTGAAAAGGAGAGGAAATCGCAGATGACCTTAGTTCATCTGCAATTTTAAGGGGGAAATGAAGTTTTTATACAGCGTGAAAAAAAAACATCTGCAAACGTACAAGTGGTTAAAACACGTCTGCGTTTTAGCTACTTGTATGTTCGCAGATGACTTGCCAAAATTGCAGATGAACTTAATCCATCTACGATTTTGGTGGCTAAAAATGCAATTTTTGTTTTTTTTTTGCTATTTTTTGCAAAGTAATTAATATTTTTGGCTAAATTTACAATTTTCTATTAATAAAAGAGGGGATAATCAAAATAAATATTAGTGTAAACTGAACACAGGGTTTGTAAAAAATTGTGAATTCAGTCTAACATAATTTCAGTTTGTATTGCTAGTACAAGTCAATATATATTATGTTAAATAAACGAGGAATTAGGGTTTATGTTGGAGATTTGGATACCCGTTGGATCGTGTGAACACTTTCCGAACTTATATTTCTACCATATGCCTTGTTTGCAAGAAATTCAGTTTAGGATAATCCAAAATGACACTTACAAATCTAGGCACAGAAATCATAAGACAATTTGCTAGAAGGATTCTATGTTCATCTGAAGAAAAGAGAGTTAATGATTGCTTATATCTTCTCAAATAGAAGAGTCTTTCATATATTAAACGACATTTAGGTTTTACCGTCATGGGTAGCTTTGCCCCATGAACCCCGCTAGGGGGGGGGGGGGGTTGCCCTAGACTCCGCTAAAGGGGAGTTGCCCCTTTGGAAACCCCGGACCTAAGGGCGCTTCCCCCGGACCCCCGACTTATTGTCGAACCGACTTCTAATTCGATCTTATACATGCGTGCACTCTGCACATACCGTATATATATTAGAGTATAAATTATGAAGCCCTTAGCTCACATGTTAGTTCTAATTACATAAAATGACATAGTGACTCTAAAATCACCAACAATCATCTCTCCTATTTTAGTGTAACCTTTGAACAAACATAACCTTATCAAAACAAAACCAAACTAGTACATAATGAAAATATCGAAACAATTAAATTTCCACTTAGTATCATGCACTTGCAAATACTCGAGAATCAAGGTGTCTAACGCCCGTGTTTCTAGGCTACAAGCATTAATAATGTTGTAATAGTCTAGGGGGCTGTTTGATGAACCTTCTGACTGGGTTCAATTCTTGGACTCGGTCAGAAATCTTCAGTCCGTGCGTTTGTTTTTCTACTGCAGTCTTGGACTCGGTCCAAAATGCTAATTCGGTCCTTGTTTTTTTGCTGATTCAGTCCAAATGAAAAACATGGCTGACTGGGGCATATTGATGAAAAAGACGCACTTTACCCTCTACCGGTGTTGCTCTTTCAACCCCCACCTTGTTCCTTCCAGTTTCCCACATCGCTCCTCCTCCAGAAGTGGTATGATTTTTCCCGTTTTGACCTAATCGTCAGGTTAGCAATTCTTGTCTCTTTGTAAAATTGATTATTTGAAATCAATTTTTTTCATATGCTTGAAATCGATACATCAATTCTCTGAAATCGATTTTCCAATGTACTGAAACTAGAAACTAAAGGCCCAACTTTTGTTTTTCTTTATGAATCAAGATTTGATGATGTGAATTGGCGATGAACAAAAACAAAAAGAAAAATAGAGATGCAGTTCTTTAAGTAATTTGAAGCACAACATCAATGGTGATTTCGAGTAGAATCAATGATTTGGGGATAAGGAAACAATAAGGATAAAGGTAGATATTTGGGTTTTTGGTCTCCTAAATCAAAGAGATGGTTTTGCTGTGTGTGTCAAGTCTTTGAGCTGTTGCTTTTTTAGCACTTTAATTATTATATAGGGATAATGACTTCAGAGGGTAACATACTTTTGATTTTGATCACATTTGGTCACTGAACTTTTTTTCGTGCTCTATTAACCCTTTAACTTGTTGCTTTGTGCAAATTTTCCCCTTCCGACTGGTTTTTGCCGGTTTCAATGAATTTATTGATCCTACGTGTCAGTTTTGATCCTAACTGGCATCTAGGGTTCTTGTTATTAAAGGAGGGGCATTTGTTGTTCATTTATTGTGCTCTAATACCCCGTTGCCCTAATACCCGATGGCTTCCTCCTACAGCATCTCATCCTCCCTCAATCGATCAAGCAAGAAATCCACAGTGAATGATCCAAAAACTTGTGATTGTGGGTTCCCTGCACGTATTCTAACATCAACAACACCAAAGAATCCAGGGAGGCATTTCATGGTGTGCAATGAGGTAAGCAATTTCACTTAAATTTCCCCTCTTTTCTGATTCATTTATTCCAGATTTGAAATCTCACTTTGAAATTTTATTGTGGAAGGGTAAATGCAAATATTGGAAATGGTTGGATGTAGAACTTGTACAGATGCCTCTGATGGAAGTGGTGGAGGGAATGAAAGCTGAATTAGTAGCATTGAAGACCGAAGTAGAGAAGGTGAAGGAAGACATGGAACAGATGAAGAAGGAAAAGTACTCTGATGCCATTGCAATGAAGGAGAAAATATATAAGTTTACCATTGGATTTCTTTTTCTGATCATCGTGTATATGATGAAATGAAGTCACATGATGTATTGAAAGATGTTGTTTGAATAGAATAGAGTTGTTATCTTAACTTCTTGTTGGAATGGAATGAAGTAACATTGATTGTAATGGAAAATTTAATTATAAAGAAGCATACATATTAACTGCATACATATTAACTTTGATTGGAATGGAATCACAAAGAATGGAATGAAGTAACTTTGACTGGAATGGAATCACCAAGAAATTTTTTGACTGGAATGGAATCATAAGGAAGCATACATATAACAATGAATACATATTTGATTTTGACTGGAATAGAATCACAAAGTAGCATGCATATAAAGAATTAGTTTTGACTGGAATGGAATCACAAAGTAGCATGCATATAAAGAATTAGTTTTGACTGGAATGGAATCACAAAGTAGCATACATATAACAAATACATATAATAAAAAAAGTAAGTGAATGTGGTGGTTGGATTCATTGTAATACGCCATTAATATTCTACAGTTATATAAGTTTTTGTCTGCATACACAAAAGTAGTTTCTAGGTAACACAAAAGATTCCTGCATAGACAAAAGAAGGGCCACCATGTGCCCATACACCTACTTGATAGTACCATAGAAAAGCATAATAAAAAGACTACTACTTTGTCTTTACATCACAACTGCCTTACAAAAGATATTCCTACCCACCCACTATTATCCCCTAAATTAATCAATAACTGAAGGGTTATCTGCATTGCTCCCAACCCCAGGTATCTGCCTCCTTAATGCTTGTTTGATAATCCGTTCAGAATATTTCCTCCTTCCACTTCTACTAACTGGGACCCTTCTTCTTGGCATGGGGGCTGCAGGTGGTGGTGGAGGAGGTTGTTGGGCTGCAGGTGGTGGTGGAGGAGGTGGTGGTCCTTCATTGCCCCTAGATAAACTTGGGTCTGCTCCACTGCCCCTGGATGAACTTGGTACTGCAAACAAAAATTAAAATGTCAATTCTTTGTTCAAATGATGTAATGTTTTAAAAATATTCACCTGATGTATTGCTTTGTTGGTTAGATGGACACTTTTTCTTGTTGTGACCTGGTTCCTTACAAATACCACACTTTATTATGCTACCCCTTCTTGAGACAGTTTGTCTACTTGATCCACTCAACTCTCGTTCAATTGCATCCCTCTTCCTTTTCACAGATGGCCTACCAGGTAATCTTCTTCTTTTGGGAGGCAAAGGCTTATGGTATGGAACATCTGGCCACATTTCACTACTATTGAGAGGATTAATGCTATATTTGTAGCATTTTAGGTAAGCCTCAGTAGTGTATGATTGGGACACATATGCCTCAGCATCATGATTTAAGTAAGATATTGCTGCCACTCCATGTAAGCATGGTATCCCTGTAAGTTGCCATATTCTACAGGCACACTTCTTTGCAATTAGATCCACTCCATATGCAACATCAGTGAATCTAACCTCATACTTTTGATAACCACAAGGAGTAACTCCCCACAATCTGTTTAAGCATATTAACATCAGTGAATCAATAACACATCCTCATAATTAACATAAGCATATTAAAGTAAAATAATTACCTCTGTTTAACCTTCAGATGTTCTATACGCTTCCTAATAGTTGGACATATAAGCAAATCCCATTCCATTCCTTCAACTCTTTGAGTGTATATCCTTTCCATCACAAATAACCTAATCTCCTCCAGCATAGTGATTATAGGTCTCCTTCTAGCATGCCTAATAGCAGAATTGAAACTCTCACTGACCCCATTCTCCACTGCATCACAGTCTCTTCCTTCTTGAAAGAATGCCTTAGACCAGGTAGTAGGATCTCTGTCTATAAGGTAATCATAAGCATGAGTATCAATAGATTTGATGTTCTCCATTACACCTCTGAAATTCTCCACAGTACTAGCCCTTACAGCCCTCCAAAATAACTTTATGTATTGTTGACCAGTCAACCTTTTATTAAAATTGGCCAGAATGTGTCTAGCACATTGTCTATGTTCAGCTTCTGGACATCATTCCTTAACTGCTTGTAATAACCCCTACAAATCACAACATCATTATGAGTGAAAAAGCATAAAAATGAAGCATAAAAATGACCTAGTACTAACCTTGTGTCCATCAGAAAGAAGGGTAATGCCTGCACCAAGACCACCATTAATGTCATCCATAAGCAAATCTATGAACCACTTCCATGTTTCTTTATTCTCAACACATACCACAGCCCATGCTAAAGGGTAGATGTGGTTGTTTGCATCTCTCCCAACAGCTGAAATAACTTCTCCTCTAACTATACCCTTTAAAAAGCAACCATCAAGCCCAATTACTGGCCTGCACCCTTCTAACCAACCATCCCTTACAGCTTTGAAACACACATAAAACTTAGAAAACAAAGTTGTGGAATCTGGCATGATGTCTACATCCAATCTCACAGTAGACCCAGATTTGACCTGATAATTTCCTCACCATATGACCACAATCTCCCATAATGTTCAATTAAACTTCCTTCAATCTCTTGTAATGCAAATTTCTTTGCATTTCTGCATTGCCCCACACTCACATTTATGTTGAATGTTGTTGACACTTTAGCTTTCATCTTCCTTGCACTCATTTTGGGGTTCTCTATAATTTGACTCATAAAATGTTTCCCTATCCATCTATAAGTTACAATTGACCCAAACTTAAACACCCTACAACAATTATGTTCATTCACTAGAGATTTGATCTGAAAAGTCTTTTCTTTACCCATCCAGGAGGCCCATAGTCTGAAAGGGCAAGATGGTGACTTATTCTTTTTGCAACATTTCACTAACAATCTATCAGAGTCATTTTTTTCAAACCATAGATCATACCCATTAGCAACTGCATAATTGCTTAACATATGTTTAAGCTCAGTAGGGTTAGAAAATCGCATACCTATAATTGGTTTCATCTGATCCCATGGCTGTCTCTCATCATACACAGGGTACTGGGGTGGCACGTATTCATCATCTTGATCTTCACTCTCTATAGGTTCACAAAGGATGTTTAAAAATCTATCACGTGCAGTTTTGTTTGCTGGAAATGGATAGGTAGCATCATCTTCTTCATGATCAACAGAATATGAATCTTGAATAACTGAATCCCATCTTCATCTAAGTCTTCGTTTTCACTTTCACTTTCCTCAGCCTCAATCCAGTCGAAGATAGGTTCATTATGGTGATCCACATATACATTCATTCTCTTGTCATTAGCATACGCCAAATCCAAAAATTCCTTGTAATCACCGTTGTTCACCAGTGTATGAATTCCAAGACCTAAAGACTCTTGTGGAAGGCAGAAATAGATGTCTTTGCTTCTCGAGTTGGTGAGCTTGTGAAGGAATTCCATGAATTGCTCATACCCAAACCCATTAAAGTCAACATCTCGCACTGATGCTCTGTTGGGATCAAAGTAAACTAAGGGATTGGGTGCAAACTGACCATTGTAGTGGAAATCCACTACAATGAAGTTCTGATCAGTAGGATTTGGAGATGATGCCATAGAACGGTTGAAGGAGATGAATGATCGATGGAGAATTTCGTGACCTAGTCGAGTTTAAGGACCAAATGAGACTTCGGGGTGTGGTTTAATGAGACGGAGATGAAAAATCGGGCCCTACATGCCACCTCTTTCGCCACGTAAGATAAAAAAATACACGTAGGATCAATAAACCGTTTGAAACCGGCTAAACCCGGTCGGAAGGGGAAAATTTGCACAAATCAACAAGTTAAAGGGTTAATAGAGCACGAAAAAAAGTTCAGTGACCAAATGTGATCAAAATCAAAAGTATGTTACCCTCTGAAGTCATTATCCCTTATTATATACCTTTTAGATTTTAGACTATTAATATGGAATTTACGTTAGGTTTAATTGGTTGCTGTCAAATTATTTAATAGTTATATTTCTTAATAACACGTCATCTAATAAAATGATATTTGTAATTTATTTTAATATATTTGATCTTTTACTAACAAATGGATTACTATAAAAAATATTGTTTGGAGGTAATATAGTCATTTTACATAGTCAGTTGGATTAAAAATCAAACAACAAGTTTCAGTCAGAAGATAACGAGTTAGAGCTTCTAACCCAGTCAACTTTTAACTCAGTCAGCTCTAACCGAGTTAGCGACTATCAAACGATCCCTAGGTCAACCTTTGTAACTCATTTTGAAATAATAAAGAAGAATTATGTGAATATCATATGAATTATATGCTTATTTACTTAATTATTATGATTTAATTAATTAATAATGAAAATAAGCATTGAAAATAAATATTTGAAAAAGCCGATATCTTTTAAGAAAGTTGTAGTGGTCAAAACAAGGATTCCGGAGATATAAAGAACTCTGAAATCCGAGTTATAACGAAGAAGTTATGACATGTCGAAGTTTCGCGATGGAACCGACACGGCACCGGGAAACGTAAAAAGTGAATTTACGATAAATTGCTTTTTAGCCTTAACAATCTAAACAAAAGTCATAGTATTCGTTAAGCCGGGAATTTTGATAAAAAAAAACGTCCAAATCTGACTTCGTATGAGGAAGTTATGATTTTTCTAAGTTTTAGCAGAGCAGTAAACAGCTAAATACTCGAATTTAAGATCGAGCGATATTTAGCCGACACAACCTAAACGAGAATCGAAGGTCTCGTCAACAGTAGTACAACAGTAAAAAGACTGACGAAAACGGACGTCGGATGAAGAAGTTATGAATTTTTAACGGATTTTCTTGTCTCGACCTGTTAAAAATAATAATTTTAAAATTAAAGCCAAAATTAGCCGACGAAGTCTAAACGAAAGTTGTAGAATATATTCCCGCCTACACGTGCATATAAATAACGTCAAAAACGGAGCCCGTATGCGAAAGTTATAAATTTTAAAAGTTTTGGGTGCAATTTTCGAAAAATTCGCATGGATGAAAAGCAGCCACGTCACCCTCGCCTCACGTACCGGAGCTGCTGCGTTACCGAGTCGTGGCCAAATCCGAGACCGACACATGCCTTCTTCGTGTCAGCTTCTGATAGGCCCGAAGCTGAGGTCCAATAGAAGAGTGACGCACCTCGCATCGGTGGTCCTTCCCAGCCTCGCTGGCCTTCGCTGCATCTGACGCGTGTTCGCTTCTCAACCTCTCACGTAGCTCGCCTCCGTGTCTCGCCCTCGCTGCTGCCACACGCTTCGCCCCTTCGCAGCCACGTCTTCCCTTCGTGTCCAAGCCTCACAGCCACTACGTGGAGCCTTCTCAGCCGATCAGCCCTCGGTCTCGCATGCCATAAATAAGGGGGTTGCGAGATCTCCCAGGTACTTTTGGAAAATTGACATTTTTCACCCCTAAACTTATATTTTGACTATTTTGACTTCCCCCGTAGCCCCGGTATCATTTTTAAAGCCCGGAATATGTCCCGAAGTGCCCGAAGACCCGGAAAATTTTATCTTTTCAATTTTGAAACTCCAACCCTCGCAGAGCCCGGTTTCTCAATAAAACTCCCGGTTTTATCATAGACGATCATTTTAAGGAACGAATTGCTGTCCGATTATCATGAAATCAAGTGAGTGTATAGTCACTTTCATCTTACACATAGATATGAAGTATTTTCTATAAAATACGTGTTATGTGTAATTATATTGATTGTTTATTTGAGATGACTGTTGAATAAATGTTTTATACAAGTTATAAACTGTATATGTATTTTTATCTACAAATATGTTGGGTAAAACATGGGTAGACGAAATAGTTGATGTGTGTTAAAATGATGAGAGGCCTCGATGTTGTTATTGTTCCAGTCATCTAGCAGAGTATGGATGACGACCACGGACTCTTCTAGACAGTCTAGTGGAACGCTAGCAGGCTCGCAACCTGTAGGTGTTTGTGGGCTTGATGTTCACCGGTGTACTCCATCCCCCTCATGGTTGCCTTACGGACACATATGGTTGAGGAATCCCCTTAGCAGTAAAGTCCATCCCAATGATAAAATCCTTAGACTAGGTCCCTTGTATAGGTGTTTAGGGACATAAAGTGAGGATAACGAGAATGGGTAATCAGGGTTATTGTTGGTTTGATAAAATTAATAAATTTATTGTTGATCGATGAAATTAATAAATTTATTATTATTTGTGGGTTGAAAACCCTATATATTCACCAGGCTCCCAAGCCTGACCCACTCAGCTTTCTGTTTTACAAGTAGTGGACCCAGAGCATAATTTGGATGATGATGAGGGATTTTTGGATTATAGGCCAGTAGTTGTAAATAACTATTGTAAGGCTTATAATGTACTATTTATGTTTTTGATCTGTATCAAATATGACATCCCGAGTCTTTTTAATGAAATACATTTCTACGGAAATGCTTTGATAAATCTTTATCATATTTTGATTTTGGGAACAAATTCCGCAACACTTTTATGTAAAATATTACTCTGATTTTCAAACAAGCATAAACAAAATCGGTCTTTTCTGGCCGTGAAATTGGGGATGTCACAAGGTGTTCTAAGAATTAAACCAATTAACCCATTTGAATACCATAAAGTAAAATACATAGCATATGCTTGGTGTACATGCCTGATCCACAAACCCTAATTTTTAGGGTTTACACCCTATATAAACATCATTAACTCTCTAATGCTCACTCCCTCACCAGCCTCCAACCCTTATTTCGTCCCATTGCAACCCTTATCTCTTGTGTGTGTTCCTTTGAGCTTGAAAGTGTGTGTTTGTGGTGCCTTTGAAGTAAGGAGAAGATAGAAGCACCAACTTAAAAGATCAAGACCTCATAGATCCAGGAACACCTCACCTCCAAGCTTCATTTTGAGGTATAAAGTTTTGAACTTGATGATCATATCACTAGATCTTGTTTATGTAGAAGTTTAAGCGTACTATCCCCATATTCTTGGTTCTTTTAGGTATGAGCTACCCTGGACCCAATGATTTGTCCTCCTGGAAGTTTTAGGGTAGTTTGACTGATAAAAATATGATCATGGCTCTTAGTTCTTCCCCATGTGTGAGTTTGGTTGTCTTAATTGCTTAAGATATTTGGTGGTTTTTAGTATTAAGCACTTAATGGCCATGTAAGGCCATAAAGTTGGAAACTTTATGGTCAAGGACAACATTTAGGACTTGGATCCGTAATTTGGACGTAAGGGTTAATGAGTTGGGAAAGCATCCAACTGCGTACGTTGGGTGTACCAAGTGGTACGTCGCGCGTACACGCTCAAATCTTAGATTTTGGTCGATGATTGAGTATGATCCACGTACGAGGCTAGGTTGACTTGGCTGGTTTGTTGAGTTTGAATAATTTTAACCAAAGGTTATTTTGGATAATTTGATATTAATTTTAAGTTGGGCAATAATTTGAATAATAGGTGTCCAATAGAGTCGGTTTTCGGAGTAGAGATTTATTTATATTTTGTTCGGACTGAGAGGTGAGTTTTCCTCACTATACCCATGGGTGATAGGCACCAATGTCGACCCATTATATTATGTATTTTTGTTATAGGATAGTATTATACTAATACATGACAGATTAGATCTGTATGATTCTTTATATTTACTGGTTCTATGTTTATGTTCAGCTGTTATATATTTCAACATATTATGGTTGAGTTGAGGCGGTCCTGCTTTGTGTTGAATGCCAAGACACCTAGGGATGTTCGAATAGGATGTAAGCCCTACGAGGCGGGCCAGTCAGGTAGAAGGCCCGTAGAGCAGTCCAGATATGTTGTAGGCCCTGCAAGGCTGTCTAGTCAGGTTGAAGGCTCATATTTGCATGCTTTGATTGTTATGTTATGTGATGATACATTAGGGAAACTCACTAAGCTCACTAAGTTTTGGCTTACAGTTTTAGTTTATTGTTTCAGGTACTTTAGAGGAACGTGGGAAAGCAAATGCTTGATCGTACACATCCTCCTATTTTCATGATATTCACTTTTAGGACACTTTGACATGATTTTACTTTTGAAATAATGATTCTTTTGTAAACAATGATGGTTAATGGTTGCTTTTGAAAAGTTTTAAATTTTTATGATTTTAGGATATTACATATCTAAATTTTAGAAAACCAAATTACCATTTATGAAGTGGTCTTTTTTATAAGGATGGTCATAAAACATGGGTCATAGTCTTCAAATTTTGACTTAAATTTTTTATTTTTGTCAACATCTTGACCCAAATCCATCCAACTTTCTTTTTACAATTTTGACTTAAATTTTAATTTTTTTTTACGAATTTAGTCTAGTTAAATTATTTAATAAGTTTTTCCTATTTATTTTCACGATTTTTTTTATATGTTTTAACTAGATGTTTTTTTGTACAAATCTACTTTTTATATTTTTTACAAATTTTTGACAATTACAATAAAATTCCCTTTCCAACAACTTTTTCTACTATGTTTTTAGAAAAATTTCTCTTTTTCACAAATCCACTTTTTTACGGTAATTTTATGATTTTAACAATAAAACCCCTTTCTAAAAATGCAATAAATTTTGAAAAACTATTTTTATATTTGGAA